TAACATTATTTTATTTATCCATTATACTGAAGAGACCTTTTTGAAAGAAATATGTTGTTTGTTTGTTTTGTTTTGTAATTTTGAGATGTTCAGTTTTATTTTGGTTTTAGAAAATATACGTGATTGCTCTCCTCACAAATCAACACTTTCTTGTTTTTGTTTCATGCTCTCTGTGCCTTGCCCTGGACTTTTATGTCACTCTGCAGAAAAGTGCACATGCTGTCCTAACTTTAAGGAAGCTGGTCAAATTATTTGTTCTTTAGCTTTTATTGAACCAGAAGAAATTATTTGGTTTTTCATAAATGTATCATTCATGAGGACCATACCAATTTCATGGCTGAAGTACATCCTCTACTCTACGCTGTTTTAGTGCAAAATGACTTGCCAGACTGAAGCCAGCCAAACAATGCCACTTGTAATGAAATCCATCTCGGTTCAGCTATGCACTGGCTTATAATATAACTTTTGATTATAGCTTGTGAAACCATGACCACCTCTGTTACTGGTTGAAACCATTCATGTTTTTCTAATACATTCTTTCTTAGCCAAAAAACGTCAACCTTTCCCTTTTCTCAGCCTTCATTCCAGGGTGAATTATGGACAATGTGATTAGAAATGTGAAAATGGGAACGCTGAATAGACTCAATTAGAGATGCTTTAGTGCAGGAACTGAGGTTATATCCACCCTCCCGTCTCTGAAGACAGGCCTCACTGGACTCCCTCATTCAAACTAATCTGCACCTCTCTATCTCCTCCTGTAAATCTATTTACCAAGCCTTAAAAGCCATTTCTCAATGTTTAGACTGCATTAATGAAACATTCCCCCCTGCCCTCCTGCGTCCCAAAGGAAAAAGCATTTAATCTCCATCAAAGTATTTAAAACAAAATACTGTGTGTGTATTTGGCCACTCTAAATTTGATTACCGTCACTTATGTAAAACAATAATTGAGCTGGTAAACCTTTCTTCACTATTTATACTGTTATGATCACAAAGTGGAACGTTTGCTCAGTTATGATCTCTTTCACCTTATGTTTTTATGAGATATTACAAAACTTACATATGCAGTGGCCACATAAGCCATATTTTTATCATACCAAGTGGCATTTAATTTAAAGAAGTATAGCATATGAAGACTTTTCAAACAAAACATTTAAAAAAAAAAAAAAAAAACTTCACATCCTGTCTGCTCTACACTGTCCTATAGTAATAAAAGGCAGAATGCCAAGAATAAATCCTTTAAAAAAGTTGTAGTTAAGACTGCTTAGAAGATGCCAACATCTACTTATGCTGCTTATTTGAATTCTGAAATAAGCTGTGGTGGCTTCAGCAATGAAAGAGCAGATGTCAAATGCGTTGTGATTATAATAGAAAACTTAGAAGGCTGAGATACTCATCTCCATTGGGTGCATTAATAGTGCCAGCATTTGACCTACTGGCTTTGCAGGATAGATGAAAAGCTCATTAAATCCTGCATGGTGATGTGGGGGTTTAGCAGTCAAAGGGACAGAATGAAAACTGTGGAGCCGCACCGAACCCCAGTAATGGAAGGTGAGAGTCCTTATTGTTTCAACAGAGTGAGCAGGATCATAAGGAGGTCCAGGTACAAGACAGCAGGGGAACGAGAACTGACAGCTTAGGTGACAACTCTTGAGTAATGCTAACCAAATGGGCAAAATCATTTACTGTGGCACTGTTGATATTGGTTCTTCATGATTAATCTCCTGTGCTTGTGTTTTTCTTCATTTGTAAGTTACATCTGCTAAATGAATCAATATAAATGAAATTCCTTACAGTTGGATTTCTTTGTTGTGCTTGTTTCAGTGTGATTTTAAGCCTTATGAAAGCAGCAGTGAGCTCACTAAGCCTAGATGTGTGAATTACTGGATTTACATTACTTATAATGCAAAATGATTTAATGCTTTAAGTAAAGAAGCAATTTGCTGAGCTATAAAGCGTCAGAAATCCCCATCGCTATATGTTCACTCACAATGACGCCAATCTATAATTATTCAATCATGGCCCACTTAATATGATTGGGAGAGGATAACTTTCGTTTGACTTGAGCTGATTTGTAATTTGCATTATTGCCGCTATCTGTCATTAGATTAGAAAGTTATTAACTTTAGATTTAAACAGCCCAGGGCTCCTATGATTATTAGAACATGTTGTTCCAAAAGGCACAGATTATTGTGACTATGCTTCGTGAGCAATCTTTACTTGGAAATAATTTGGTGAAGATTATTTTCATGATGTCTGTACTAATGATTTGTGCAAAGTTGGGTAATATAGTAGCTGTCATAATTAGCTGGGAGAACCGTCTTGTGTTAAAGACAGAATATGAATCAGACCTTTGCTGTTTTCTTCTTACTGTCATCTTAACAGCAACAAAAAGAAGTCACACCACCTGCCTCACTAACATAACACACAGTTGGCAAGTACTCTGTCTTCAGCCGTTGAAGGAATGAATTTGTGTTCATTTTTGTTGTCATATTTTTTCTACAAGGAGTTTTTGTTTAAAGCTCTTGAAGATAAAGAGTGAGATACCTCACGGTGCTTTTCAACACCATAACAACTGCACAACCAGTCAAACATCAGCACCTGCCTATATATATGGATGCATGTGTGTAGAATTATAATAGAATTATAGAATGTGTGTGTTTGTGTGTGTATATGTTCATGTCTAACTAATTTCAAGCATTTAAGCAGAAGATTTTACATCAAAAGTTTTTTAAGATCAATCGAAGCAACCTTTTGACAAGTCATCCTAAGTATGATCTGCACTCTCATTTTGAATTCCTGGATCTCAAATTTTACACTTTGATTTCCACATTAGCCAGTCTTAATTAAAAAACATGCTTTCAATTAATTCCTAGCCGTTCCATTCCTTTGGACGCCTTCACATGGTAATATTAAATAACATTGTCATCATGCATGTCTAATTAATTAGTCACACAATGCTCAGTAATTGCATGCAGCACTAGTGACCTTTGGTTTGATCGTATCTTTTTCATGTTCTCCCCTTAGTGACCCTACGCAAGCACAGCGCTTCTCACTGGCGCATGCAGAACATCGCCCAGGAATCTGTTGACAGCTCGGATGATGAGTTTTTTGATGCCCGAGGTAAGTGTCACTTACTTCCAACTAGGGCTGCACGATTAATCGCATGCGATATTTAACGTGCATCTAATCGTGCAGCCCTACTTCCAACCCTTTGTAATACCTTGATGGCTTCAGCTCTTCAGCATCTGTGCCCTACTCTCTCTCAATTTCTCTCTCTCTCTCTCTCTCTCTCTCTCTCTCTCTCTTTATGTCCATCATATGCTGTCCATTACAGGTGCATCATATCATTATGGATGTATTCCTCTGAAGTAGGCACTAAAAAACCTGTAAACCTGTATGAAATAGATTTTTAGGCCTCTTTCATGATGAACGCAAATGCTAAACTGGCTTTCTGTTATTTTGATATGGATTGTTGTGATGTGACCTGACTGAACAGTGTAGTCTGTCGTCTATCATGTACCAAGCCTTGATTTAACATTACTGTACTTTTGTTTGTAATATGGTCCAAATAACAAGCCTTTACAGTCAACATGGTGAAAACTGGCAGCCATATGTGCTTGTCAGCTTACAAGTGTCCCTGCACCAGCGAGCCAATCGAGGCCCATACAATAAATAGCTCAAGATTTGCGTCTTCAGCAAAATGTCACCTTTAAACAAAATCCTCTATCTAAATTGACTAGGCTTCACTTTACCTTCCTCAGCAGGTAAGTGCTGGGCGGTATGACCAAAAATTTATATCACGGTATTTTTCAAAATTATACCGGTTTCACGGTACATGACGGTATTTTTTTTTCATGCATGACCGGGTGTTAACCATATTTTCTACTGATTGAGAGAGGAAATACTGCAGTATATTGACTTAGAATGCCCTATTCT